GATCAGTGGTTGATCTATGTTGAGAAAAAGAATATGCGAGGGAAAATTGATATATTTTCTTTTTTTGGAGATCAAAATTGATATATTTTAGCGTATTAAATATGAGTTTTAATTTTCTTATGTTGCATGAAAATTATTTTCTCATATTAGTGACTCAACTAATAGTGGCCCCACATTTAATAAAAAGATTTGTTTACATGGAAATCAAAAAATCACAACATGAAAAAATATTTTTCACCGTGTTTCAAAATACGGTTAACCAACATATTAACTAATCGATTACGATAAATTGAATCGGATTTTGCTTTTCAAAAGTGTTTTTCCCATTAAACCTTATGGGGTTGATGAGCTAGATCGCAATCATTGTAACCATGCTTCCTTAGTGGGTCCGTAATGGGAGGACTTGCTAAGGTTGGGATTATCCTTTAAATAAAAGAAGAAGAAAAATTGTCATTTTCATCTTTCACTTTGTTGTGTGAGATGATCGCATACTCATCGTGGTCAATATTACCTCCTCTAGTTTTTCTTTCTTTTTAATGCTTTGCTAAAGTATTTTTTTTTTTTTTGGAAATATGTTTTGCTAAAGTATTAATTGACGCTAAGTGACCTTCAATTTGCATTTCTTTAATTCGGATTAAAACAATACTAGTGATAAAAAGTTTCTATAATTTTAATTTTTTTCTCTAATCCCCCAAAACTCATATAATTTTTTAAAATCATAAGTATAATCTCTGCTTACTTACATTTATTTTATGAACCCCGTCTCTATTTTTTTTATCATATAAATAATTATAATTCATAAACAAAAACACCCTTACATTTTTCTATCTGGGCTATCATACATCTACTTTTCAAACATATCTACTTTTAAACGAGTCATGTGAGTAAGTGACTTCTTCTGCAAAAACCCATTATTATTCAAATATTTTATTTTATTTCACATATTATCATTGTGAAAAATCTTTTTTAAAATGTTTTCATATAGTATTATCTCTTCAATCATTATTATTTTTTAAATCTTTTCATATTATATCTTTTGCACATCTTGTTTGAAAATCTTAAACTTTGATTGATATTACAAAAAAAGGACAATCAAACCCTATATTAAAACTTCATTTTTTTAATTTACTTTCTTTTATAAAATGGACACAGGTTGTGTAAATTTTTTTTCTTTCAAATTTAAAATTTGTTAAATCATTTATTTTTTCTTAATTATTTTTCTTCTAATCTATATATTTCAAATTTTATCTGGATTAATTATGTATGTCTCATTTATAATTGAAAAAAATATCTCTACTAGAGACCATTTACTTTTATATGAGTGTGACAGAAAAAATATTTTTATAATAAAAATAGAAAGTTAAACCCTTTATAATTTTACCTTTTTCTGAAATATTTTTAACTTTATACATTATATACTTTCCCAAAATTTTAAAAGTACATGTGATACTGATTAGTTATCAAAATAGAAGAACCCAAATATAAAATATTTAGCAAAGAATAATCATTCAGCTAAAAAAAAGAATAATTATCAATCAAACTGACACACTATTAACTATGCAAAATTAGTTAAGTATGTTCATGAAGATTCTTTTGCTTGTATGAAAAGAGTAAGTTAGTTTTATGTTAACCGACATTAAATATATTAAGGGTCTATTTAGTGGTTAGATAAAGAGAACAACATAGGATAAACTGTGATATGATATTTTTATTCATTGTTTAATGAATCAACTTGTTCTTATGTAATTGTAAAATGTATTTGACTCATTTTATTTTGTCCACACAAGATAAGTTATCCTAAGAAAGGATTTAAGTTAAGAATAGATATGATAAAATTAACATCTATCTCATCTCAAATATAGTCATATGTTCTTCTTCTACGAATTTTGATGGGCACATAGAGGATCGATCTTTGTCATCGACCAGAGCCATCACTGTTGATGCCGCTAGCCATCGGTAACCTCTACCATCCATTATTATCACCACTGGCCATTATGATTATCACTGGCTACCACTACCCCCCAACCACCACCATCAATCAACCTGCATAATTGCCCCTGGTCACCGCTAGCACTGCCTTCACCACTTTTACCAACCACCCCTAAATGAGTCAGACAATCTATTAGGGGCCTGCAGCCCGACCTACGTCAGGTCAGACTTGGACTATTATATTTAGTATAATAGAACAGGTTCAAACTTAAAAAAGAAAAAGAAAACCATTTTACAAAGCGGGCCATATGCTTTCTTTCACAAGGCCCAGCTTATAAGCCTACAAGCTGACTTTTAATTAATAGGCTTAAACAAGCTAATAGGCATAGGCCAATTCTTTTATTTTTTAAATATAGGTCATGTCAGACTTATAATTTGGGTCTATAAAAGGCTAACAGACTAGGTAAAGCCTATAATATTTTACATAGGCCTAACTTATTTAAGCATAAATCTGATTCGACCTAATCGATTTACACCTCTAAGTCCTCCCCACCAACTATTATCACCACGATCAGTCAACCACCACAATTATCAATCACCAATGGCACTGCCATTACAACCACTTCTCCAGCCACCCCCACCTCCTAGCAACTAGCCACCCCCTCGAGCCACCGCCACCTTAACCACTAAGCACCAACCATTATCGCCACCATTAGCCATCACTAGTACTATCATCAGTCTGCCACCACAATTATCATTGATCATTGCTGACATCGTCATCATCACTGTTACCCATTGCCACCAGCCCCACAACTGCCACTACCTCTACTTCAACCTGCCACTAGTACGCGCCAGCCATCCACCACCATCGGCCATCATTACTAGTCATCAATAACTGATATTAGGGTTGGCAAAATGGACCAACCCGGCTCGACCCACATGCAACCCGAAAAAATGAGTCGGGTTGGAGTTGACTCGAAAAAAAAATGAGCCAAAAAATCCAACCCAACCCGACCTGAGTCAGGTTAGGGTTGGCTCGCGAGTTGGCTCAAAAATATGGCTCGTGGGTTGACTTGAAAAAATAGCTCGCGAGTTGGCTCGCGGGTTGGCTCATTTTCGGCCTATTTAAATGAACCGGTAGTATTAATGCACCAACTATATGCTTCCATCAGCTTAAACAAAGGGTTAGAAAATGAGAAATAAAAGCAAAATATTCTAGTTTTGAATTTTCTTCACAACAAATTTGTACCAACATCTAGAAACAATCAGAACCACTTGTTACCAAGTGGGTAAGATATTTGAACCAAACAAAGCCAGCACAACCTAACAATATAAAAATGGCAGGGATGTGAGAAGATTAGGGACTTAGGTTTAGAGAAGGAAGAAAGATGAAGAGAGCATGTGCAGGTTTTGCCCAATTTTGTATATTACATTTTGTATTTTTATATAAAAAAAAACTTAACCTGCGAGCTAACCTATTTTTTTCCGAGCTGGCTCGAGTCGGGTTGGCAGCTCATTTTTGCCAACCCAACCCGACGGGTTGGCTCGTTTTGCCAACCCTAACTGATATTGACAATCAATTTAAAATTTAATTTTTAAAAATTTATTTTATGAGGATATAAATTTTTTAATTTTATAAGTTATTTATATATTTTAATATTATTTATTTAAAATTGTGAATAAATTTTTTAGTAATTTAAAATAAGAATTAATGCATAAATAAATAATGATAAGTAATTTTAAAAAAAAATCATATACTATTATTTAAAAAAAATATTTTTGTCTATTTATATCATATCAAGACATCAAAAGATTCACCTCAAACACTTAACATGATAACATTATTTTATCATACTATTTATAATGCACATCAATACAAATATAAAATAAGATATGAGCATATCATTTTCTAGTCTTATCGGATCTTCTTGTCCAATCCATTCATATCTATTATATTTACCAAACGGGCCCCAAAAATTTTAAAGATGCATTTTTATAGTTTTGTCCACTAAAGGTTTTAATTAATATGATAAATAAGACAAGAGCACACGTCCTTAAGATAAACCTTGCATATTAACGTCACACGTTGGTTTGACTTCTGAAGTTATCATTTTGTCTGATATCCTACGTATGATGGGAATGGGATGATTTAATAATTAATATCGTATATCATGATTTTAATGACGTTTGATACGAGTATTATATTATACAAATTTATTTACAAACTTTTTTATATATTAAACTTGTGGATAATTTCATAGGTTTAAAAAAAAAAACAAAAAAATAGATGCGTTTGATTTTGACATATAAATTCATTTAAAAATTCATTATACAAAAGGCATTATAATTGATCTAGTGATGAATGATTTGAGTAATTTATAAAAGATTATAGATTCAAATCTGAGTGTTATTATTATATAAAAAAAAATCAATATACAATCCTAAATTTTCCCATTACTGATCATAAGTGTTAAAATCACCGTATTAATATTCATACGCGCGCATAAACCACGATAACTCAATTTTCTAAACAAATTTATATTGATTTTCATCCTATATATTGTACTTTACAGTTTACACCACTAAATATAAGGTAATTCTATTTAAGAAATTAATATTTTTTCTACACGCATAAATAATTTTGAGAAAAATGTGTATTATTTTGATAGATATAAAATTGTGTTATTTTAAGTAAAAAAAAGAAGATAAATTATGAAAGAGAGAATTGGTAAAAAAAGTTTTAAATATGTAGATTTTATTTTTTTATGAAAATAAAATAATATAAAGTGTGTCATTTAATTTTTTTCCGATAATTTTATCTCATGCGTATAATATAAATGTGTGATAGCGAGTGAAATCGTATAGTGACATGTAGACAAACACTTTTGGCTGATAGGGAGATAATAACAACACAATGAGAGTATATAATTGGAGAGGTGAATGTGATGAGAATGAAGATTCGCGTTTCGCCTTTATTATAATATATAAGAATGTGTGTCGATCTGGCTTTTGTTTGTGACTGGGACTGGGGGTGGCACTACTCGTTCTCGCTCTTTCCCTTTACACATACTCTTCCATTTTCATCACTCTCTCTCTCTCTCTCTCTCTCTCACACACACACACACACACACACTCGCTTTTGCTATGGCATCCACCATCGAATCTGCTTGGCAGGTTCTCTCTCTCTTCTTCTTCTTCTCTATCATTTCGCCCTAGTTTTTTCTTTTATTTTTCTAATCTCGTCTTTTTTGTTTGTTTTTTTTGTTTTTTTTTTCCTTTTCATTTTTGGATGTGATGATGAAGATATGCTTAGGAAGCAAACATTGTTATTTTTCTTATAATTTTTCTTTTTGTTAGACTTCACGATAAGATTGCATAAACTCGATGCATTCGAAAAAAAGGAAAATGCTGGATCATGCATCATTTGGAAATTGGATTCTTTTTAATCTGAAACCAACTCAATTATTGTGGAGATATTTATAAAGAAAAGGCAAGGAGAAGAAATAACGACGAAGGTCGTGGAAGACATAAAATTTAAGCAGATTCATAATTTTGTTAAATTTCTTTTTCTTTTTCTATTAGTCTTGGGTTGGAATGGAATCTTAGAAAGTCCCTTGACCATCGTAGATGCCAGAAGATTGCTTGGTTATGCATTTGCTAGAGGTTGAAGAGTAGTAGGGGTAGAATTTAATTTGTTGTTATGCAATTGGCGTCCCAGCTAGATCGTAGGATTTGATTTGCATAGAGGATGTGAGTTAGATTTCTGAGAGTATTTGGGCATTGGGTTCAATTCATGAGAGTTGCAACTCTTGGAGAAGGTGGAGAGGTTTAAACTCGAAACAGGAGAGTAGTTGATATCTTAAAAAAGAATATAATTTGCTTTTTGTTGATGGAATTGTCAACCTTTTCATAATTTGGGACTACTTATTTCATAAAATGTTTATTGGACTTTTGCTAGGATATAAAATTCACTGGTTGTTTGTGCTGCAGTTCTTGATCATGCATTTCAGCGACTTTCAACTGGCATGTTTGGGAAGTTTCTTTCTGCATGAAAGCGTTTTCTTCTTATCTGGACTTCCTTTTTTATTGCTTGAGAGGGCAGGATGGCTCACTAAGTACAAAATTCAGGTTTTTTTTTCCCATATTCAACTTTATTGCATCCTTAAATTTTATGATGATTCCTACTTTCGTTTTTCATGCTAGACATTAGCTGCTTTATGTTTTCTTCCCCATCCTTTCCTTCAAAGGACTTCTTGGACGTTGTATTTGGAAAGACACATTCTTTGCTGAGCTTATGTAATGTAGTTTGCTTTAACATGGTAGGCATATTCAATAGGATGACTCCTTGTTCTTGATATCAATTATTTGCTTTTTTCCTTGTTTTCCATTGTACTAAAACAATGCATCCTTCCTTCACAATTGAAAATTTTGAGAAGATTCAACCTGAACAGAATGGAAAAAAAATATAATATTTATTATTAATAAATAAACAATGTTCCAAGGCTTTCGAGAGACACCTGGTCTCCCGATTTCCAATTTCTAATCTTTCTATAGTCTGTCTCATGACCTCCCATCCTCTCCAATTTATAACAGATTCCCCATAAATATAAGATTAATCACCCATAATGGAATCAATCACACTCAAGTCACCCATAATTATAGAATCAATCACCTATAATGATTGATAACCATAATTAATACATAATTACCAGTAATGATTGGATAAATCCCAATCAATCACCATAATTTCAGGATTAATCACCTATAATGATTAATACCGATTTGCTCATAATTAATTCGATCAGTTCTGGCCCTTTCTAGAGAATTTCAACAATTGGGGTTCGAACAATAGTCCCCTCCAAAACCTTCACCTTGTCCTCACGGTGAGGAGCAGCCCGCAAAAATCCTCTCCCAGGTCCAGTGCTTAAAATGTTGGAACCCACTTATGTAAGAAACAAAAGAACTTCCTTTGTGATCCCATTGCTCTTCAGCAACTTCCGATGGTTGAGGATGATGGATCTGCAACTTGGAGATTGTAATGCCATCCATCCTAGCTTTGATGTCGTATTGGTTTGATGAGTCGAAACCAAGTGTCTTGGGTTTGAGTAAGTTCAGCCGAATCATGGGCTCACAAACCCAAATGTCACAATTTACAAAAAGAAAGTGACCCATGTCCCTATGTAGGCCTAGGAATATCGTGAGAGTGCGCTGGACCTGATCCATTTTGCCATTGAATTGACCCAATTTTCCTAAGCCCCTCCATGACCTAGTTATATCCTCTCTCTTTAGATGTGTTGGTAGCTGCTGCTGAGATTCCTCCTTCTTCATATGAGGGTTCAAGTCTAGTGGATCCAGTGGTGGTGTCGAGGGCATTGGTGTCTCATGTACGCGCACATTGCTCGTCTCAACCTAGTATGGTTGCCTAAGTGAAGACAGTGGTTATGCATCCTCCGCTAGAGTCTTTTTGAACTCCCCATAGCCTTCTATCTCCTCACACTCTTTCTTCTCTACTTCTCTTTCTTTCTACACCTTTTTTTTAGCTTTACAGTCTCTCCTTCTGCCTTCTCTTTTTCTGGGATTTCCCTTTACATTTTTGGAGTTAAAAGTTCTGGTTCTATCTCTTCCCCTCAAAGGAAGAGATCTGGATCATATTTCGATTGAAAGCGTTTGAGAACAACCTTGAAGAAGTGCCACCATATGGCATTTGGGCAGAGATAATTCAAGATCTCGTACCAAATTTGAGCTTTCCCCGCCAACCCCTTTACAGCTTCAGAAACCTTCTTGTCTTCTTGTGTTCCTTCCTTGATGAAATACTGCTCCATTTGTATCAACGACCAATAAGTTTCATATCTGTCAAAATTTGGAATCATCCTCAATTCGTTACCACAACTCCTAGATCGAGAGCTTTGATACCAGTTGATAAGATTTAACTGAAAAGGAAAAGATAAAAATGGAAAAAAAATAATATTTTATTATTGATAAAGAAGTAATGTTCCAGGGCTTACGAGACACTTGTTCTCTACCAATTTTCAATTTTCAATAATTCAGTACTATGTCTAATGGCCTTACCTTCTCTCCTATTCTCTCCTATTTATAATAGATTCCCCATACATACAAGATTAATCACCCATAACAGAATCCATCACACTCAACCACCTATAATTGCAGTCAATCTCCCGTAAGTATAGAATCAATCCCCTATAATGATTGATATCCATAATTAATATAGAATTTCTGATAATGATGATCAATCACAATCAATCACCTTAATTTCAGGATTAATCACCTATAATGATTAATACCAAATTACTCATAAATCATAATTAATTGGATGGGTTGTGGCCCTTTCTATAGTAAACTTTAATAATTGGGGGTCTAACAGAATTACAGCTGATTTTCCCTTCTAATGTCTTCTTTTATATCTTTATGTCTTTCATAGCTAGATGTTTTTGTAATGCCTTTTGGTGTTGATTGTCAAATTTTTGGTTGGCCATTCCTCTCCCAAAAAATACAGAAATAATAGTTTCAAGCAAAAATATATAGCATTGTTTTCTGTTTGAAATTGTGCATGCTATAGTTTAATAATGCATTAGACAGAGAAAAAAAGCCCTGGTACCAGCTGCTAAAGATAAATGTATTCCATTTTCATTTGATATGTAGTTATCTACTTTAAAAGGAAATATTTGAATTTTGTTATTATGGTTACATTATAACATGGGGTTTCATGATGATCTCTATTTTATTGTTATTATGTGACCAAATTATTCGTGTTTCTTTCGCTGCAAGAGACCTGGTATACTCTTCAATCCTATCTATCTTTGATCCTTTTCCTTCATTTGAAGCCTGGTCTGATCAGTGTGTAAGATTTAGTTTTGTTGCTAATACTTGCTTTCACACAGGCGAAAACTAACAGCCTTGCATCTGAGGAGAAATGTATTCTTCACTTATTGGTGTATCATCTTTTTGTCAATCTACCTGTTATGATTTTTTCATATCCCGTCTTCAGATACATGGGCATGCGGAGTAGTCTTCCACTGCCGTCCTGGTACTTTCAGGTTCTTTAGAGCACTGTGGTTCTTCTGGAATTATGAGTTCCATGATAGGAATTTTTCCTGTAAGCATTTAGAATACATCTTTCCATTAAGCTTACTTAGCAAGACCCAATTTTGGTTTTGCAGGAGAGTAGTTCTAACTCAATTAATCTTTTACTTCATTGTGGAGGATTTTGTATTCTACTGGGGCCATAGGATACTGCATACAAAATGGTTGTACAAGCATGTACACAGTGTTCATCATGAGTAAGTTTTATGTGTGTTCTGCAGTCTATGAATTGGTTTATGGTTTTGGAAAGCTCAAAGATATTTAACTATATTGTGAAGGTATGCTACACCATTTGGACTTACTTCTGAATATGCTCATCCTGCCGAGATACTTTTCCTTGGATTTGCTACCATTGTTGGTCCTGCTGTCACTGGACCCCACTTGATAACCCTCTGGCTATGGATGGTTCTTAGAGTCCTTGAGACAGTTGAGGCACATTGCGGTTATCATTTCCCGTGGAGTCCCTCAAATTTCTTACCATTGTATGGGGGGTGAGTGTCATGTTCCTTCTCCTTTACATTATATCAACCTTTTGGTTCATTCAGTTAGTGTACTCCTTTCGCTGTTGTTGAACTTTGCATCTTTACTTTCAGGGCTGATTTTCATGACTATCATCACCGTTTGCTGTACACCAAGTCTGGAAACTATTCATCTACCTTTACTTACATGGACAGGTAAGTTTCCCACATATTCTGCTTAATGGATTAGTATTTTTTTGGTTATGCTTAGAATACAAGATGGCCTAACTGACATTTGTTTATGCATGGATGTTCCACTTGTTAAACTGACAATGGTATATGGCCTTTTGTCCATCATAATAGGATATTTGGAACTGATATAGGGTACAGAAAGTTGAAAGCATTGAAGAACGCAGGAGTTGAATACTGTAGCGAACAAAAGAAACAATGATAGAACATACTTTGGGAATATCTGGAACGATTCAAAAGTTGATTTCCAAACTTACAAAAACGTCTTCTCATGTGTTCTTTTTGTTTTGGTGGCTGTTATTGTCAACATCGAGTGAGATTGGTTTCAATTTTGGAATGGTTTCTCTCCCTATTGCGCATCTGATATTTTTTATTCAAAATCTTTCTTGGCGCACTATTGTTTACATGTTCAAGTTGTCTCTGATCTCGCGTTGACTTTGAATTCTGTTTTTAAAAACAATTTTTTAATTTTCAGAACAAAAAATAAAAAAACTTGTTTAATAATGTTTGTATTGTAAAAATGGTTTTAAAATTATATTTATTTTTTAATTTTTAGAATCAATAATATATTTCAGTTTATTTTATTTTGCATTTTGACTTTTTACTTTAAAAAAAAATACCGAAAACACTCATTTCATTGATTATTTTACAAAATAGTTTTAAGAAAAAAATTTCAAAACAGAATCAAATAGGCCCTCAATCTTCAATTCTATGTTCACGTTTCTATTGCCTACCCATGTGCTACCCTTACATGCAAACAAGGAGAAAGAAGTCACTTAGGTCAGGCATTATCTAATATATTTAATAAAATAAAATAGATTTGTATCTTAAAAATAACTTATTTAGGAAATAGGCTATAGGACTAATTTTTTAAGGTTTGACCTACTAGCCTTTAGATCGGCTTATATTTAAAGGTGGCAATTTGGGTTGACAACTTAAAGATAAAGGCGTATGTCGAGAAGTCTCTTATGCCGCCAACCACTGCTGGTCCTCCATTGCATTTGGCCCTAAACTCTTTTGACAAGTTGAAGTCTTATTTTTCACAGGTTTTCGTGAAAAGTGGGACAAGTTTTCACAAGAACAATTTATCAACAATTTACCCCCCTCTGGATATTGACATCGGGGAAGCTCACTTTTTTGAAATGGCCTTCCTTGCTCTAGTTGATCGCAACCATCTTTTATCTGAGATTCACGATCTTCAAAATTCCAAAAACAAATTCAGTGCTGAGCAAGTAGCTCTCAAGAAGCGGGCAGAAGCGCTGAATTTGTTGCTCAAGGATTTAAAGTCCAATTGAAGGAAGCTTAATCCTCTAAAGCGACTACTAAGGAGATGACTAAGCTGATTGGCGAGAAGTTAAGAGTGGCCTAGCAGAATTATGCCAAGCTTGTTAAGGAAAGAGACCAAATTAAGAAAAGTCAGGAGGATACTGACCTCCAAGTAGCCGAGTTGGAGTTGAAAGTCGAGAACTTAAAAAAAGCTATTGCTGATATGGATACTAAATTCGGAGCTTATGGCCATCAAATTCGCGGTTGGGTATTAGATCGGGTCGGTTTCTATAACTCGGGAGCTGAACTTAGCGATTTGGATAAAATTGAAATTTTTAACTTTGTGAAAAATGGAAACTTATTCACTTATGATGTTGATGGCCGCAAAGTTGTTCTTTTATCTCGCTTATCTGAAAATGATGCTATTAACCTGGATGGCTCTAGCCCAAATACAAATGTTATCAGCTCAGAGAATGTTGACTCAGAGAATTAAGATGCTTGAAGGGGTGGTATGCCACCTTCTTTTTGTAATACTTTTTGGGCCGGAGATGTCGTCTTTAAGTTTATGTATTAAACAATTTTATTTTGCTTTGTTAAGTTTGACATTACATTTTGCACTTTCAACTTTATGCTTTTGGCATGAAATAACTTATATTTTCTAGTACAATTTTATTTCTCGCTTTTGAGTAGGAAAATGACGGGTGCCCAAGAGGCCATTTCTTGGCGGCAAGTGACTTGTATTTTTCGTGCTTATTATACATTAGGACTCATATTAATGGAACTCGCTAGTTTTATTTGAATAAAATGCAAACTTACAATTTAAAAAATTAAGAAATAAATGCTTTCTAAATAAAACATGAGAATGAACAATCATGAAAGTTACAATCTGAACGAACTAAACTAAAGTTAATAATCTTGATGAGTTCCATGTCTTGAAGAGTTAGCTGAAGTACCTCTTCAACATAGCAGCATTCTAATGTCTCGGGACAACTTTCCCGTCTAAATGCTCAATTTGATAGGCACCTGAATTAGTGTGAGCTGTTACTCTGTAGGGACCCTCCCAATTAGCAGCTAACTTTCTGTCCACAACATTCTTATTCCCCACATCAGCTCTCCGGAGGACTAAGTCTCCCACAAACGATGCCAGATGTTCGGTATTCAGGCTCTCGTCTTGACATCCGACCACACGAGTTCCTAACAGATGGCCTCTTAACCCAAGCTCATATTATTCCGGGCATAAAGGCATTGGACCAATGCGGGTTATATCTTGCTGGGCCTTCCCAGGTCACCCAACCTGGAACACACAAATACATCTTTAGAGTTATACTTTTACGATGTTTATTACGAAAGCAAATGTAATGTAACAAGTCTCCAACTCAAATAAATAAGATAATTTTTTTTTGTCAAAACCAGTTCAACAAAAGAATCAAGTAAAGGACGGGTAACAAATTAATATTATGGAAACTAAATAATTAGGGTGTTAATTGAAGCGTTGAAGGATGAGTATTTCTTGTATTTTTTTAAATTAATTTATTGATTATTCGATTAATTTGATTCGAGCGTAGCAGCACCAAAAGGGTGGCAAAGTTCTCCCTCTAAACTTTTAACACAGCTATGTACCCGAGACTAGAATTCAAAATCAATATTTATGTTGGAATTGGAACTACCTCGTACCTAATTTCATTTTTAAGGCGAGTTATCCTTCAACTATCCCTGCAAGCTTCTACTCTTTGACCCAATTATGATATTAATTTCGAGTCGGGATTTAATTGCAGTTAAAGCTTTTTACCCTTTCCAAAAGATATTGGTACCAACAAAGCTAGACCCGTTGACTACAATCCTAATATTTTGGAATTCATTTTTAATCGTCCCTAGTCACACATATTACACCTATTAAACTTACAACAGTCACGCAATTGCATTTACACATATTACACCTACTTAAACTATAACACAAACAACTCATCTAACTACATTCACGTGTAGGGATGTGCACGTGTAATACCCCATATTTTTATTAATAAAATAATAATAATAATAAACTATAAATTAGTAATAATAATAATATAGATATATATAAATAAATATTATGGTGATAGATAACAAAGTAGAATATTAATTTTATTTTTGATAAAATTATTTTGTGCGATATGAGTGCTATTGGAAAATAATTTTGATACTTTGTAATACTCTAAATTATTTATAATAACATAATATTAATATGTATATATATATATATGGGGAGGGATCTTTTGACTCTAGAGTAAGACTTACAACTCTTACTCCTCATCTCAACCGTTGATTTCTGTCAATCTAACGGTTATCTATACCAATTAATTAATTATTAAATTCAAATAAATAATAACAGTTAGATGGACAGAAATCAACGGTTGAGATGAAGAGTAAGAGTTGTAAATCTTACTCTAGAGTCAAAAGATCTCTCCCATAATATATATATATATATATATATGTATATATATATTAGATGATAAATTATAATTAATTGAATTATTAATTGATTGATAATGTTCGATTGGTAATGATTGATTGGTAATGATTGATTGGTAATGTTGATTGGTAATTTGATTAGATATGATGAGTCAATAATGAGTCAGCCTTGAGTTAGCAAATAAGTTAGCTGTAATCTGAGCCATGAGAAATTAATAATAAAATAGTGTATGAAGCCAATATCTGACCCAGATATTGGCTCAGATAAATGTACGAAACTCATATCTGAGCCCAAAACTTCAACTATAAATAGAGGTCTAGCCTAACCAAACCAATTCACTCTTCAACATTTCTCCTCTACTATTCTCTCTTCTTAGTTCAAAAAAACTTAGTTTAATTTATTTTATATTCTTCTGGTTACCAACCGGTTCTCTGCCCCAAATTACTCTTTTCTTCTAGAAGTTAGCGAAAACGGAGACCAGGTAATCCTAATCCCCAGAGAGTCATAGGTTATATTGATATGAATTTTGATATATGTAATCCTAATCCTTAGGGAGTTATAGGTTATATTTATATGTAATTTGGTATATGTAATCCTAGTCCCTAGAAAGAGGTTAATTATATGAATATTATTGGGTTTAATTTTTATTTTTATTTTGATTAATTATATTGTTGGGAATTTTAATCCTCTAGAAAATATCAGAATTAATTGTGTAATTATTTATATTTGAATAATGGATTTGGAAGTTTTGATATTCTTGGATAAATGATTTGGAAATTATAATGGATTTGGAAATTATGATATTATTGAAAGATTGAATTTTGAAATTATACTCTTGATTAAATTGATGTGGAAATCATGAAAACTATTTGACAATTATGAGAATGTGACAAGATTGAATTGATTGTATGTGATTGAATAAATTAATAGTGGGAGGATAGCTTTGGGATGGTACCTCCCAAGGTGATGAACACAACTTTTGGGCTTTATGCCTCCGATGTGAAACTGATGTAAAAAAGATTATATCCGTTCTTCCCAAAGTGGTATATGGTAACAGTGGTTTTTTCCCGGGGTACTAGTAGCAACTTTGGGAAGAGGAGTGCACACTAGGAAGATGTGAATTGATTATGGCCAATTTTGATTATACGTGGCTGGTAACAGTGGTTATTTCCCGGGTCACGGGGTAGACTGTCAGGGTTTCCTGGGTCTACCATGGTTTTCTTCCCACTAAATATAATGAACTTAAACATTATTAATGAAAATTGTTATTTGATTTGATTATGAAGAATGTCATTGAGTTGTGAATATTATCATATTATGATTAATGTTGTGCTAAATATATTAGTTGATAATTACCAAATACATTAAATGAACTTAATAAAGATAAATATTATATAATGGAATTTTGATTATTATATTGATATTTGATTTGATTAATGTGGAATTGATTTGAACACTATTTGATATTTGATTTAATTTGTTATTAATCACATTAATTGTATTTTGATTAGGATTACCAGCTTTGTTGACTTTTGTGTTTGTTTGACTGCAATGATCCTGCGGCTGCGGGGGAGCAGATTTTCAGTGAAGCATGTTGCAAAGGATGGGGCTAGCTATGGACAGTGAGGATCACGACTCAGATATTTCTAGCTAGTTTCTAAGTTTAGAAATTTATGAGATTTAAATAAATGCATAAGACATATTTCCTTTATTTAAACTTTAGTCTTTGGTTTTATTTTAATGTAATAAATTTAGCCTTGCACCTGTTCATTGTACAGGTGCGGCGGTAACATTCCCCAAATTAGATTTAGATTAGTTTCCGCAATATTTTTATTATTATAATTGTGAAAAAAATGAATTTTGACAATTTATTTATTATAAGATTGTTTTATAAATTGTTAGAAATTTGGGGTGTTACAAAATGGTATCGAAGCCCCTGGTTGCGGCTGGGGTTTGCTTTCGATACTGACTCGAGGGTTCAAAGATCCCTGAGTTAAATAAATACAAAAAAATAATAATAAAAAAAAATAGGAAATAAAATAATAGACATAAGATAAATAAATAAATCGAGAGAGCTGGATAGTGAAGGGTTATTTTTCTTGTCCTTTAAATATGATTTATTTCTTTGAAATTTTGATTATTATATGTTTGGAATTATTTTGTGATTTAAAATTATTAGTGATATTATTCTTTAATTCTTTTATACGCTATCTTTAGTAACTCGTTCTTATTTTAATAAAAGTAATTAGCTTTCTTTTAGAGTTGTTCTTGAATTGATTAAAACTTTTCTAGCAAATGAAAGATAATGTATGCAATAAAAAATTTTATTTGTTTAAAGAAGATATTCAGTTTCGAAACTTTTTTTTTTTCATTTAGCTTGGTTAAAGTTAACAATTCATTAATCTGTAGTGTTTTAAATTTATTGTATTCTATGTTATCTTGTTTGCTTGGTTATGCATGACTCTTTGTTGTTTGCTTACTTTTTTTTAAGGTGGTTTCAAATAAAAAAAAATTAAGTTTCGAGGACGAAACTTCTTTTAAGGAGGGTAGAATGTAATACCCTATATTTTTATTAATTTTAACCTTATGCCTTTTAGTTAATTTGAGGAGCTCAAACTTTTAAGTTTCGAGTACGAAACTTCTTTTAAGGAGGGTAGAATGTAATACCTCATATTTTTATTAATAAAATAATAATAATAATAAACTATAAATTAGTAGTAATAATAATATAGATATATATAAATAAATATTATGGTGATAGATAACAAAGTAGAATATTAATTTTATTTTTGATAAAATTATTTTCTGCGATATGAGTGCTATTGAAAAATAATTTTGATACTTTGTAATACTCTAAATTATTTATAATAACATAATATTAATATGTGTATATATATATATATATATATATGTATATATATTAGATGATAAATTATAATTAATTGGATTATTAATTGATTGATAATGTTCGATTGGTAATGATTGATTGGTAATGTTGATTGGTAATTTGATTAGATATGATGAGTCAATAATGAGTCAGCCTTGAGTTAGCAAATAAGTTAGCTGTAATCTGAGCCATGAGAAATTAATAATAAAATTGTGTATGAAGCCAATATCTGAGCCAGATACATCAATAAAGAAAAAGGAAATAAATGCACGAAACCCATATCTGAGCCCAAAACTTCAACTATAAATAGAGGTCTAGCCTAACCAAACCAATTCAGTCTTCAACATTTCTCCTTTACTATTCTCTCTTCTTAGTTCAAAAAAACTTAGTTTAATTTATTTTATATTCTTCTGGTTACCAACCGGTTCTCTGCCCCAAATTACTCTTTTCTTCTAGAAGTTAGCGAAAACAGAGACCAGGTAATCCTAATCCCAAGAGAGTCATAAGTTATATTGATATGAATTTTGATATATGTAATCCTAATCCCTAGGGAGTTATAGGTTATATTTATATGTAATTTGGTATATGTAATCCTAGTCCCTAGAAAGAGGTTAATTATATGAATATTATTGGGTTTAATTTTTATTTTTATTTTGATTAATTATATTGTTGGGAATTTTAATCCTCTAGAAAATATCAGAATTAATTAGCCAATAGTTCAGTTCGGTTCGGAAACGGTTCGGTTCTTAAACTGGCTATAGAAATCAGTTCGGTTCTTAAATTGGTTCTAAAAACCGGTTCGGTTCATGAACTAGTTCTTTAAAAACCGGTTCGGTTCATGAACTGGTTTTTAAAAACTGGTTATTTTATGGAACGGTTTGGTTCGGTTCATGGTTCGGCCTAATTTTTTGGTTATTTTGCACACCCCTATTCACGTGTACTTTCATAGAGTGATGGTGACCTCTTCATTAATTAATTAATGATTATTTTTTGTTTTAATTTTTTTTGGTAATAGAAACTTCTTCATTTTTGATTACATGTAAATTCAAGTCTAATAATTTAAGTGAGTGTAGTATTCTAAAGTTTTAGCCAATATTTAGCAAGTTTTGAATAAAATAACATAAGGTAAAATTGGGCCTCGTGTTGAGCCCAAGACATAATCTGTGGAGAAGAGACAGGCCCAAACACTATAACATGTTTTCACGATCCTCTTTCTCTGCGTGTTGTTATTCGCAGTTGCAGTTACAGTGCGAGAGTAGAGAAGAGAAGATGGTGAATCAGGGTGAACCGGCGAAGCTGCGGTGGGGGGAGCTGGAGGAGGACGACGGAGAGGATCTCGATTTCTTGTTACCACCTCGGCAGGTGATTGGGCCCTACGAAAACGGAATAAAAAAGGTTATGGAGTACAAGTTCGACGAGGACGGAAACAAGGTCAAGATTACCACCACAACGCGCACCCGCAAACTCGCCAACGCGCGTCTCAGCAAACGCGCGGTCGAGAGGCGCTTCTGGCCCAAGTTCGGCGAGGCCGTTGATGAAGACGTTGGTAGCAAACTCACCATGGTCTCCACCGAAGAGATCCTCCTCGAGCGTCCGAAGCCTCTTGGTTCCTCTCTCTCTCTCTCTCATTAAAATATATATATGGTTTATTGTTTTTTATATCACAATTTATATCCTGCAACCCAAAACTATAAGATTAGGGAGATCAAGTGTTTTGATAAAATTCATATAATAAAGAAACAAGTAAAATTACTGAAACACTCTTAATTAATTCTCTTAATCCTCGAAACGACGTAATTTTATGGTTGCAAGGGATAATTTCATGCAACCCATATATATATTGGAAATTCTAGGATTTGTTCTATAATTGGTTGTTAAAAATTCAAAAGTCAAGTGATTAATTAATTGGTCTTGCTTGTGAATGTGGTAATGTCAGTGGTAAATGGTGTTTCCTAAAATTGGAACTTCCAAGGTGTCCAATACAAGTGATTATTTGCTCGTGCCATTATTGGATTGGAAAATATATGCACTGCTAGTAGATTGGTTTCTGTTTGCATATAAATTCACTTGAATTTACGGTTTTGGAGAATCTTCAGAGTTTAAAAAAAGTATGTTATATGGGTGTATGCTAATGGTCTTTCAATTTGTTTTTGTGATACTAACATTTACATGAATTTTCTATACTTTGGAAGATAAATTGCTGGATTTTTTGAATTAACTTACTCTGAGGTTGTGTGCATGAAGGTGAAGCTGTTAAATTTGACCTCAATGTTTGTAGTTTAGGTGCCTTAATTTCGTTGGCCTGATCTAATGGAGGATTAGTCTATCATCTGTAATAACTCTGCAACTGTTAACAGGTGCAAAAACAGACGAGCCAAAGGTTGCTGGAGACCCATTGGCTCAATTTCAAAAGGGTGCTGTTCTTATGGTTTGTAGGACATGTGGGAAGAAGGGTGACCATTGGACTTCAAGGTGCCCGTACAAGGATCTTGCCCCACCATCTGAGGGATTCATCGATAAGCCTGCGGCAGCAGATGTTGCGGCCGGCGCCACGAATGGTTCAACCAAGGGAGCATATGTACCTCCTGGTATGAGAGCGGGTGCAGAAAGGACCAGTGGATCAGACATGTGGCGTAGGAACGATGGGAATTCTGTACGAGTAACCAACCTCTCAGAGGACACAAGAGAGCCTGATTTGCTTGAGCTTTTCCGTCCTTTTGGTCCTGCGAGCAGAGTCTATGTTGCCATTGATCAGAAGACTGGTATGAGCAGGGGATTTGGCTTTGTTAACTTTGTCAACAGGGAAGATGCTCAAAGAGCTATCAACAAACTCAATGGATATGGCTACGACAATCTCATCCTTAGAGTTGAATGGGCCACCCCAAGGACAAACTAATTTTTTTTTATCCCCTTTCTTTAGAACGGTATTTCGAAGGCCTATCTATTTTTGATAATCTGAGTCCTGTTTTCTTTTTAGATGATTTATTATTTACAAGTAAATGTTCACTCAAGATCTCTTGTTGCTTATTTAAACCCTTTTACCCTCTTGCAAATAGAGCTTAAGCCAAGTTTGTATACCATTTGATTATTGTTACTTCAGGCTAGTGGCCATAAAGTATCTCAAGGTTAGCTATGTCAAAATGATGGGCATGTGTATTTTGAAGCTTTGATCGGAGATGTAAAATTTTAGGAGCATGGGTTTTATTAATTGTGGAGAAGCCAAACCTTGATTTTCCTCATTAGTTCCTTCAAAATTTTAAAGCATATAATTAGGGATCTCATTTTATCTCCTTACCAAGGTTGTTGAATCGCAATACGTATCGTGAATCATTCGGCTGTTTTTTCGTATCATGAATCGTGAATCGTATCGAATCGTAAGATTCAGAAACAAATTAAAAATAACTTCAAAATGTATAATATCATATAAATCCAAATTAAAAAAAAAAAACCCAAATACCAAACAAAATAAGTAACCAAATTTAAAACCAGTTATTCTCATATTTTAAGACTAATATTATCACTACTATCACTATCAGCATCTAGTATTGGCATATCTAGTTCTTCATCTTCTCCATTAGTAGAGTCATCTGACTCATCTCCTATATCTTGTTCAACAATTTGAGGTTCTTTGCCTCTATCATTCCTATCATCTTGAAGATTTCGAGGACCTAAAAATATACATAATGTAAATAAATATATTAGGTAAGGTATTTGATTAAAAGAAATATTATATATGCAAATATATCTCTCTTTCTCTTTTTGCTTTGGTCTCCTTCATTAGCGTTGAAGCACTCATGAACATCCTTCCAAGATTCCTCATCCATTAGGCAAGGCTCCTCTTGCTCAGTAATCCATTCCTCGTCGGAATCTAAATCTGATAAGCAGATAGGATCATATGTGTCTCCTTTTTCCTCCCTTTGTTTTTGCCTAATTTCAAGTTGAAGGTTGTATTTAACAAACACGAGCATTCAACCTTTGTTGCTCTAAACGGTTTCTTCTCTTAGAGTGAATTTGATCAAACACACTCCAATTTCTCTCGCACCCTGTAGCACTGCAAGTGAGGCTTAGGATACGAATAGCTATTGTTTGCAGCTCTTTGCAGTCTTCTCCAAAACTATTCCACCATAAAGCTAGCAAAAAAAAAAAAATTATAATTGATAAATAAATATTTGGTCAATAACTTAATTTTTAATTTTTTTAAAAATCAAAACATCAATTTAATCAATAAAAAAAAAGTAAATGATTACCAGGTTGCTTCCTATCTCTGGTTGCAATTGCTAAACTATTTCCAAAGAGTCCCTCAGCCCTATCAAATTTCTCAATTTGGGAATCAATTCTGATCCTTGTTTCAATATCAGGACACATCTTCTCCAATGTCTTCCACAAACCAGTTTTAACCTCACGATCTGGGTTAAACTTTGGGTCATAGTGGAACCTATATAATTATTATAAATTTAGAGTAAGGCTCAATAATAAATGAATGATCAAATATAAAGAATTTTATAAAAATAAATTTTATAAAAAAAATACTTCCTTTGGGTTAAGAAAATATGCTGCTGCATGAAGAGGCCTATGAAGTTGCAAATCCCAATGCTTGTCAATGATTTCCCATACATCCTTATATCTCTTTTCCTCATGATTAAAACTCTTTGCTATTTCTTCTTTTGCTCTATCCATAGCCTCATAAATATATCCCATTGCAGGTTTTGAATCACCATCCACAAGTCTGAGAACTTTCACAAGAGGAGACACAATTTTCAAACAATAATGTATTGATTTCCAAAGCCTTTTATCAGCCAAAACAACATTTTCTGCAAATTTGGCTTCCGACCTAGAGTAATAAGCACTATTAACCCATTTTTCAGATGTAAACATAGATCGAAGTGCAGTCTTTTGTTTCAAAATTGACTGCATTGTCAAATATGATGTAGCAAACCTTGTTATCGAAGTGCAGTTTTCTTCCATTCCAGCTTATATTTATCCAAATTAGCATGGACTAAATCTACTTCTTTCTTCAAGTATGAAACCCTCACTTCATGATAAGTTGGTGGTTTTAAGCCTCTACCATACTCACTAATAGATTTCACCATATTAATAAATAATGGACTCTTTACCAAATTAAATGGCAATGCATTGCCATATATGCATCTACAAATATCTCGAACTACCAAATCTCTATCCTTCACCATTGAATTCAAAGTTTGTTGTTTCGTTGTAGATGAGCCACTTCCACCTTTTTTATTAATCATAAAACTATCCATGCTCCCCTTTTTTTGTGAATCTTTATCATCAAAGCACTCTAGTTCATCATCATTGCTTGCAGCTTCCAATATTTTTATAAATAGATTCCTTATCTCTTCTGGCACTTGTTGACATGGAGCAACTTCTTTGTGTGTTCCAGCAAGATGATGCTTCATTCTAAATGCTCCTCCCCACATCGTTTTGGGACAATAGTTACATTTGACATTCAACCTATTGCCAAGGGACTTACAATGATCCCAAGTTATATCCTTTTGTTTTTGAGATTTTTTCTTTGGAGCCATTTTTATTGTTTCTGTACAAGGGAAAAAAATTAAAGATGCAAAAATTAGGTGTTATGAGCACAACACAAGTGAACATATACAGAATTTGCAGTTTGCACTTTAATGTAAAAAAAAAATCATAGACACTTGGATCATCCCATATCGCTGTACATAGCTATTTAAATATTCAGTATTCACTTTATATGTTTGTTAACTTTGTTGACGTTCAGATCAGATGTGCAAGTGCAACAACAATACAAATAAGGAGTACATGACACTGTACCCACTATCTGAATTATAATAATTTTAATACATTTTAATAAATGATATGTTTGTTGACGTTAATATATCCACTTTACATAAACCCAACGGCTGCCATTCCACATGTAAGTTAAAAATTGATGTAACTTTGTATTATAATATAATATAATAGTATACCCATTACCCACTATCTGAAAAGTTGACAAGACAACACTACAAGTTTAGATTTTTAAATTTTAATACTTTAAAAAGCTTCTTTAAATGCTGCTGCAACATATGTATAACATCAGTGCATGACACGGTACCCACAAGGCCGCCACACACAGCTGCAACTCAGAGATATTTTATAATATTTTAATATATTTTAAACCTCTTCAAAATTAGCTATTAGATGAAGAATTGAAGACTGAAATAGTGAAGACTGAAATAGTGAAGACTGAAGAGTTTTAAAAGATTACCCGAACTGGCGTTCAACTCAGTCTCCCTGCAGGCGTTCAACTCAGTTTTAAACCTCTATTGTTTTTCGTTTTCAGGTTCCTTCAGGCGTTCAACTCAGTCTTCCTGCAAATCGTTTCTTCTCTGCTTCAACTCTCTGGGTTCAACTCTCTGCAACGTCAAGAAGACAAGAACCTTCAACGCGTTTTCTTGGTCTTCAACTTCAAGAACCTTCAACGCGTCTTCCCATCTTCTACTCGATTTTTTTTTCGTTTTGTTTTCCTTTCTGTTCTTTTTCACTTTTATTGTTTGTTATTATGAGTTTCAGATGGGATTTTAAATCCCAAATTTTTCTGAAGCAAAACAACTCTTCAGATTACATTTTTATCTTTTCAACTTCTGCGACTGTTGTTTTTTTTTTTTAAATTTGAATCGCAAATTTGCAGCGATTCACGATTCATAACTGAATCGTCCGATTTCAACGATTCACTATTCTGATTCTTATCATAATCGATTCATTGGTGCGATTTGTATCGTTTTGTTGTTGTATCGTATCGCACGATACGTATCGTGTATCGTGCGATACTAACAACCATGCTCCTTACCCATTATTTCTTTATATAAATTTTCTAAAAGCTTACCCCTTGAAAATTTTGATTTAATGTATAGTTATTTTTATTTATTCATGGAGCTTGGTTTTTAAATTCGAATTATCTAGTGTGTAATCCTTTATTTTAAAGATACGCAACAAGTTATGGAAAATATTTTTCAAAGGAAAATAAGGCGGGTGTATTGAATTGGGAGTTTAAAGGATTTTAATGGATTATTTTTGGACAAAAAAATCTATTGTTATTCAATTAGGATTTTAAAGGATTGAAAAAAAGTCACGTGGTATTTGATTAGGATTTTAAAAGATTCTTTTAGAGTTCGTCCAAATCCGTTGGTATTCAATCAAGATTTTGAATAAATGAAATATTAATCTTGTGGTATTTAAAAATCTAATGATTTTAATGAATTTTCTATTAGTGTAGATTTCGTGAGACTTTTTAGTGAGAAATGTAAATAGGATGTCTCTCACAATCTCACCCTAACCCCTAGGATTTCTTGAGATTTCTCTATTGCAGTGTTTTTTCTTCTTTTGGCAGGTTGACCCGCTTGAAATTGGGTTTCGTCATGGGAGCTTTGCCAAAACTCAAAAATAGCAGATTTTTGAGCGATTTTCTTCACAAAAGAATCCAGAAACAACAAACCAACGAGATTTTAATATAATTTATCTAAAAAATAGCATATTTTTGAGCCATTTTGAGAAATTTTGGAGGTTTAAAAAATGATTTTTCAAGGTATGGGTCGCGGTCTTTCTTGGCACAAAAGGTATGATTTTTGTAATAAAAATAATATAAAACAGGGGAAAAATAACGGGGGAACTAAAACACTCAAACCAATTTTCATTTTTCTTCAATGAAACAATATCAATTTAAAGAAAGATTCTGTTAATAGATACATTCATGAACCCTATATTTTGTAACAATACATTCATGAACGAAATTTCTTCACTATAGGAAACAAGGGGCAAGATATACATACAACCAAAAAAGTTTACCACCTTTAGAACCAATCTGATCATTGTTGATTTCCGTCAATCTAACGGTTATAATTATTGGAAATTAATAATTAATTAATAAATGCGACTCAATAATTTCCAATAAATGATAACCATTAGATTGACAGAAATCAATGGTGATTAGGTTGGTTGTAAAGGTTGTAAACAATTTCAAAAAAAATTGTGTTAATAGATAACTAAAAACTTGTTTTTCAAAAGCCCCAAAGAAATTAAAGGTTTCAATGTATCGATTGAAAAAAAAATGAAATTTTTTCTAAACTGTCATGTAATAAAATCCATAAATTTAGATTCAAAATTTTCTTAGAATTTTCAATGAAAACATGCATATGATATATGGTTAGAAAACTCTCATCACGTAGAACAAAAATCTCAAGGTTTTCAAGATCAATTACAAAAAATTTCAAACAAAATTTTTATCATGAACTTTAGGTTCTATATGCAAATTCATAATAATTTTAATGATTAAAATAATTGGGTCTTATAATCATATATGTATAGCTCTAATACCAAATGAAGAAGATAATTTTCAAGCCATTGGTCAAACCCAAGAGCAGGAACGAGAAAATGCTAATGCATGGAGGAGTAATATAACTTTAGATATGTGGAGAGCTGTTGCTTAGTAATTTTGAATGTTTGTTAAAAATTATCATATTTTACTGATTGAGAAAATTATATTAGGTTTTACTTTTTTTTTATTAATTTTATTGCATTTTTTTTTTCTTTTTTTATTGACTCTTGTAATTTTGAATATTTGTTAAAAATTCATATAATTTTTTAAAGTCTTATAAATCCATGTTGTCCTTTCAAATCTTATAAATTCTATTAAAATCCTTTAAAATCCAACCTTATGAAATCTTGATTATAAAAAAAAGTATTTTAAAAAAGTCTTTGAAGTGCCTCCAATTCTAAATAATTTTTTAAAATCTATAAAAAAAATTATCTTAATTTTTTTTTTTTTTGTAATCCTGATCCAATACACCCCCTAAAATACCTGCTTGGAGTTGGTTTCTAGGAGTTGGGTTGAAATTTGAAATCCCAATTTTTGGTATATGCTATTGTTTTAGATGAGTGACCTAGGCCCAATGTACGAGCCTAATCCACCATCATACTACACGACAAAATGTTCCTATGACGTAATATTTCCCTTCGCTCACATGAACAATGTATTTTCCACACGGTGTTGATATTCTGCCTTCTCACTCTGGTGTGGAGTAGGGGTGTGCATGGAACGGTTCATAACCGGCTTTAACAAAAACCGAACCGAACCGGATTTAAACGGTTTGGTTTTCAAACCGAATCGATTTTTTTCTTTTAAAACTGATTTTTAATTTTCTAAATCGGTTTGAAACCGGTTCCAAAACCGGTTTACGGTTTATAACCGGTTTTGATTTAAAACCAGTTTTAATTCAAAATCGGTTTTAAATCAAAACCGGTTATAAAAAAAATACCCCGTTTATCAAGTTCATAACCAATTTTTTAATAAATTCAAAATTGGTTTTTGATGAATTATGCTATTTTTATAAGTAGTCGTTTGTTTCTCCTGGTTATAAGTAGTTCACCAACTATTTTTTAACAAATTCAAAACCAGTTTTTTAACAAATTCAGTGATGCAAGAAGGCGTTAAGGTTGTGGTTCCCGCTGAACTGCATCAAAGCCCAAGCACTCAAGACACGTGAAGATTCCGTCAGAGACGAAGACCACCAGAATGCTTCCAACTACGTTTGAATTGTTGTGTCTAATACGACCGATTCATTGTATCTTAAGGTGGCGTTTGGTTGAGGAGAAATTTTTATGAATGATAGGAAAATGTGATTAGTAGGGAAATGGTTGGAAAATGAGTTTGATAGGAAAATGTAAAAAAAGTTGTTTGGTAGGAAAAAATTTTACTGGGAAAATTAAGTACTTTTGTAAAATTTATGTTTGGCTTTTGGTAAAATATTGATGGGGGAAAAGATGTGATATTACAAAAATATCCTTATTTTTAAAAAATGACAAAAAATCTTGCTGCCAACGTCCATATGTTAAAAAAAGGACAAAGGCTGTCTTTGGATTTCATTTAGCTGTGTTTCTTTGAA